AAACGTCAACAAATAGCGAAAACTATAATTTCTATATGTTTGCTTTGCTCGAAATCGCGCGCATTTACAAGGCCCTAAAGCGGTTTGCTGACTTGCAAGGACCCATTTGTTATAACGATGCCCAAAATAAAGAGATGAATCTCATAGTTTGTTAGATATAATCCGTGTAAAGTTTGCTTATCATTTTCGCATAAATTATGACCTAAATTTGGAAACCGCTGAATTTCTCGAATTGGGTCTTTGCGATTTTGGTGAAACTCTGTTCAGCCCAAGGCACTAATGCGCACTATGTGTAGCCGAGAGATTTTCACGAAAAAATGGCGGCAACAGCAGATTTTCGACTCAGACCTCAAAGAAGCGTGGCATTATAACCACGTGACATTTACTCCGATCGCCAAAAATTTTATGTTATATTGTAGATTGATCTATATGTTATCCATTCTATGTGTTAGACTTACGATAAAAGTAAAGGTGGGGATACCAGAGACCTTCAAAGTAGGATGGTACCCCCCCAAAAAAACTGGGTCGAGTCACCTTAAGTACTTCTTTCTTCAGTGTAGAACAATAAATAAACAGTGTAGGCTAATATACTCGCGAATGACTTTAATAGCATTTTTTGATGGCCAAAGAGTCAACACCTGGTAAAAGTCTTAAACTATTTTTTTTTTACCGATTCAAACTCAGTTATTCGGTTATTGTTGTTTACACGCCCTCGCGAGGCCATTTAAATAGCTTCACTATGTCCTGCTTGCCACGTGCGTGTCTCTCAACCTCGTTTCGCTGCAGAATTTTAGGTTTCCATCCGATCATCTGTGATGTAGTTTCTGGAAATGCCACTTTTTCATCTCTTGTTACTCTTTTCGTTGTTTTGCCTTTTTCCTCGCTGTCTTTAGTCGGTTCTCTATCAATGTTTTTCTCTTGTTGTAATTCAAGCCCCTCTTGACCAATCCTTAGTGTTTGTTGTTGTAACTACAAGTTGCAAGGGCATTGGGTATTTAACATCAGGACTTGATTCATAAGGACTGAAAAGTTGTAGGTGTTTGAAGAGGTGTGGGAGCTGTATGAAGTATGAACAACTTGTGCCTACCTTACTTACATGATTAGGGCCTTTACACCAAGCTAAAGTTTGTCGGTAAGGGAGCATTTTAAAAAACTTTACTTTGCCTTGCATTCTAATTTGACTAGTGCTTTGTATGGGGGAGTAAATCGCCCAAACAACCGGAATTAATAAAATTAAATTTTCCTGACACAAAAACATTATAAGGTTGGCCCCATATTGGTTTCAAGAATATTATTTATCTAGACTGTCAAAAAAGTCCTACGCCTTAGCAAGTCTATTATTTATCCTGCGCCGCAGACAAAACTAAACCGTCTAAACTCGCAGGCTACAGAACTTACACAACACTGCTTTGTTCGCGGCTTACCTTCCGGTATTCACTGGCCAGAAATCCCCACTTGTCGGGCCAACGCCGTTGTGACAGTAGTTCTCTATTCACGTGGTCTTTCCTATATAAATCAAAACCAATTTAGTCCAGGGAAGTTATGCAAAATTTCTAGACGGCAAGCTTAATTTTTCGCCTTCTATCATCTCCGTTTTTTTTTTCTTTTCCTCTTCTCCCTTTGTCTCTTTTGCTGGGTCCTTATTTGGCCTCTTATAACCAATAAACAAGATAAGTACAGCCAGTAAGAATAGAGAATTGTGATTTAACCGGTGGGGAACTTGATTTTGAGCTGTATATAAGCTGCTCCGCAAGTTTGAGCTGGCTTCGCGTGGACTTTTCAGTATATAACTTAATAGCCAAACAAACAAATACTATAATATGGTTTATTTAAATAATGTTAACAGTAAGCAAGACAGGTTAAGAAATAACTCACCAGATTTCATCATTATGCACAAAATTGCAGGCTTTTACTTTTCCTCTCACGCCAAACATAGTCATTAAGCTATTCCGAGCTGTTTTAAGTTCGAATTTTCACACACTATTATGACGCCATGTATCCCCCTCGTGCGCGTTAAGTAGAGACTACGACAGTAGCCGACGCTGGTACGCGCGATGCCGGACAGTTCACTGCTGAAAGAACGTTGACAGCTTGCCTTGCTGACGGTTTTGTTTTTCGAGCGCCCAAAAACGGCGGGCAAGGTGGGGAATAGAGTGGCGAGGAGATAAAGGTTTTTCTATTTTTCTCGCTCGCTCGCCAAACAAAACTGTGCGCGCGCGGGTTGGAACGTTGGACACCAAACAGAAAGACACAAATCGTGTTTGCTAAGAACTGATTTTTTAAAAACAAAGTCCTCGAATAATTAGACTCTTACGAATGGAATTGCTTAATAAAGTACAAATAACAGTCTCGAGGAAACACAGAAAAAAGTATTATTTAAGTGCGTGCAAGTACGGGTGTACAGGGCGTGTAGGTAGCCACGCTCCTGAAGTCCAAGACAGTGAAAATGAACTGTGTGGTTTCTGTTTAGAACAAGAAAAAGAAAAAGTGGCACTATATAAGTTCGAAGTCAGTGACGATTTATTGTCCAATTCGTTCTAAGGTTTCCTAGAGTCTTCATGGTTTTACTCCATAATCATGATAATAGTTGTGTTATCATTTCCTGCTGGCTCGTGTTGGGCCAGCAAGGACGGTATTTTTAAGTCCTTTATCTATATGAGATAACTTGCTTTTTAAAAGTAGTTCATGTTGAAATCGTGGCAGAATTTAAAGAGGAATTAGTGAAAAGATGTTAAATATTGCTAGTGATTGTTAATAGTAATAGTAATAATAATTATAGTAGAAAGAAAAGAAAATCACGAAAATGTTTCTCTAACGGATGTACAAATTTCGTTTTAATTCTTTTTAAGTGCTTCACTGTAGTTGAAAATGTGACTACAACCATGATAATACCCGACTTAAAATGCCCCACATCTGACAAATACCTAAGGGGTCCTCAAGAAATACCGGGGGCATGTATCTTACGAGAACGTTCCCTTTCCCTTCCCCAGCCCCTCCCCCTTGAAGCAAGCGAAAAGACTTCTACTCGCTGGCTGGATGGGGAGGGGAGGGGAAATACTGACTGAGCCAATGTGGTAACTCTGCATGGAAATAGGGGATAGCCTCCAGTTAAAGCTTCTTTGAAAAAGAGTAAGACGAAAAAATCTCTGACACAAATCAACGTTTCTGGAGAGAAAGGAGAAGAGAGGACAGCAAAAAAAAAAAAAAAAACGCCCTTGTTCCCTCCCTTTCTCTCTCCCCCACATCGCAAAAAATCTACTCACTCGCGTGACTCCACTACGCCGCCTTTTGCTTTTGGTATTAAATCATGGAGTGGAAAGTAGAAGTCGATGACTTCGTTCGCTTTGCAGCATCAACTGAAAATCACTTCAAACTTTTCATGAAGTTTGCTGACGATTCAACCGATACAAGGGTAAAGAAGATGATGGCCATAATTACGGCTGATGCAAACGTTACTTATCAAAGATATATCACTGATCTTGGATTTCGCAGCAAGGAGGAAGTGAAAGCAGAAAGTTCACGGCAAACTCGAAGGTTTCTAACGAGAATGGAGCATCTTCATGGAGCTGAAGGGAAACGGATACAAGGGCGAGATTTCGTTTCAGGTCTTGATTATGGAGAGCTACAGGAAAAACTTGTAGAGATATTTCTTTGCTGTCTGGATCAAGATTTGAATTACATCGTAGGCCGACTCCACGAGATCGCACAATTTGAAACTCTTCTTAAATGCCTTTTGAGGGATACAACCAGCGTATCATGGCTTAAATGGCAGTTTGATTTAACTGGCAGTGCTGTGGAGGATTCTCAAGTCCCAGATATAAGTTACAAAGATGGAGTAAGTTGCATGAATGTAACTCCTGAATATGATATCATGTTGAGCGTGTCACAGATGTCTCTCGGTCTAAATGATCAAGAGAACTGTATAACTAACGCAAAGTACCCTGGGTTTGTAAACTTGTATGTCCCACCAGGCTCAAACTACAGTGAGAATTTACTTCCATATTTGACGTTAAGAGAGTCAAAGTACTATTTGTCGGCTGTAAAGTTCAAGAAAGAGATCTATCAAATGCTTGTTGAATTAAAGGCGATTACAGACCTTAATAGGGAGAAACCGGAAGTGGAGAAGACAAGTGAAGAAATGGAAATGAAAGACTTTGATATTAACGTTACACCTCACGGACCAGCTATTCAAATCGATGAGAGATACTTGGAAGAGGACATTGAACCCTTTCTATCCTATGATGTGGTTCCAGCAATCAAGTTCAATGGCTGGCCAAAGTGTGGTCAAAAGTGGGTTTCAAGAGAAAGGGTGTGGCCTCCTCAATCCTTGGTGAAAGAAATCATTCAGGAAGGCTTTCATTTGGTACCCAAGACTTCTCCACATGGTGACGAAGAACTGGAGTGGAGAATTTCATTCTCCAAAGCAGAAGTAAAACTGATGAGGGCTAAAGGTCTGGGGCAGAGGAACTACTGTTATCGCATGTTCAAAATGGCAGTCAAAGAAAACATCTCATCAGCTTGCAAGCTTCTCAGTACATACCACTTAAAGACCCTCCTACTTTGGGCAAGTGAAAGGCATCTCCCTGACAGATGGTCTGATGAAAATATTGCTCCGTGTTTTCTTGGGTTGTTAGATGATCTTTTGCATTCTTTGGTGAATTGTTCATGTCCACATTATTTTATTCCAGAACTAAACCTTTTTGCAAATTGCAGTACAGATCACCTGTATTACCTTGCAAGCCAGGTGTCTGCCATTCGTAAATCTCCCTTGAAGTACCTGAAACGGCCGGGTGTGAACCCCACAGAATCTTATAACAATTTTATAGCAGCTATGAAAGAGTGGACTGAAGAAATGATGGACAATACTGAATAGCAAATTATAGTTCCCAATTCTGTTCCTGCACCACTATAGGGGCAGAATGATGACCTTATAGTTGAATGCATTGTTATGTTTGCAACCCATCTACTTTCAAAGAAAATGCAGTTCAATTCAATGATGGCCAGATGGGAGTTGTTTTTAAGACTTCAAATGTACAAGGCATCTAGGTGGAATAAAGCCTGTATTAGGTATTTGAATTGCAGCTTGAGTGATCGTGATTGAAAGAGGTTTTTTCCCCCAGGGATTAAGGTAAGGTACTGAAGTCAAGTTTGCGCGTAGGGGTGTGCTACACAGGCCTGCAAACCTACACTGTGGTTTTGCTACTGTTACTCCAGACAGTTTCCAACCAGCAATGGGTATCATTATAACTGATGGTTGAAAGTCTTGGGTAGGAAATATCAGAAAAACTACTTACTTTGCAACATAAGCACATGTTAAAATACCCTTACAATTTGCAAAAGCATTTTTAATAATAAACAACGTTATTACAGATCTTCTGAGGTAGCATGAACTGCTATTCACAAAAATGATACCAAAGAAGGAAATTTACTCATAACACAATTATTTAATTTCACATGATTTATCATCATGAAGGAAGCTACAGAGCCACGCTGTTGCACAGTGACAATAAAACCAAAATTTTGCGGCCACTTACTTAGTCAAAAATATGTAATACCATGGAAAAAGACTGTAGAGAAACATTCAAGAAAATAACAGGGACATTTTGGAGACTTCACTGAATTTATCGCTCCTTCTTTTTCAGTTGGTTTGTGAACATCAAATACATGTTGTAGAAGGTGTAACACATTCCACCACCAATAGCAACTAAAAGGCCTCGAAACATCACTTGATCTCTTCCACCTCTCAACAGATAAACAGGGGCCTTGGTTTTCTATGAAAAGAAAACAACTCAAAGAGATTAGTCCAGAAATGTATGCTTTAATAGAAGTGGCAGATTTGGTGTTAATTGACATTTAGCCATTTCATCAACTTCACCACTTTATAAGGAGCAGCTCTTGAAAAATCCTTCAGATTCTTGCCAACCCTCTGGCAATTTTTTGCCAGATTTGCCATAGCATGCACTTCTGGACATGAGAAAACTTGTGAATTAAGTATCTGATTTTCTCTTACACAGTGGTTTCAATTCTGCTCATACATTGGTACCCCTATTAAGTGACCGAAGCCACCTTTTGGTTGTCCCAATGAAGGTTTTCTATAGTTTTTTACCACTATTAAGCAGCCACCCAAAATTCCACATGTGTGTTTTGGCTTAGTTTTTGGTGGGGCAATAAGAATCGGAAATAGAAAGTGACACCTGAATGTTTATTAAGCAATAAAATACTCAAAATGTACCTGAGCATGTCAAGACCTTGTCACCGGATTCTCTCAAAATTGGTTTTGTGCGATTTTAAAATGTTTTATTGTGTGCAACCGATGTTAAAAGTCTTCAAGCATGCTTGCATTTCAATAAATTGATGTTTCAAGTAAGTTTCAAACTAATTCCTGACAAACCTTTAATAAGCGAGCAACCCCTACGAGGTGGCCACTTGCCATTCCCCTGAGGGTGGCTGAATTATAGGAGTGCAACTGTATTTGAATACAGTCAAACCTGAGTCTTTAATACAGACACCAAAAGGACAGAACCAAGTGTCCACTTTACAGAGGTGTCCGTATTATAGAGGTAGGGAATGTATGATTTTTGGCATTTCTGGGACCAAACGAAATGTCCGTAATATAGAGTTGTCTGTAAGGAAAGCTGTATAAACTTTGCTGGTCAGTGATTCTCTTTGTGGTAACTGTCAATTTACACTAGTACAAAATGACCCCCGATTTTCAAAAAATGACTGCAACATTTCTGGGGAAGGAGTCAATCTGCCTTTAAGGTTGTATTCCTTTTATAAGCAAAACTTTTCTTGGATTTAGAGAATCCAGATTGTTTGGATTTTCATGGTAGCTGGAATAAACATCCTGAATAAGACTGATCCATAAAGTAGCTGCCTGCTGCATTGATCTCTTTCACAATTTCAACGCTTCTTTTTTTATTTCTTTCCGTGAATTAAACATATTCTTGTGAAGAACTGAAAGGGATTCAGAATGGGACTTTGGAATTTGAACCAAACACATTTAGAAGTATGGTTATGAAACTTCAAATTATGTTGATAAAACACACACACTGGACATTTAATTGTGAGAAAATTGCTTCTTTACAGTTTGTAGAGTAACGGTGCAACTTGAGTTTGCTAACTACAATTCTTTTGCGACATAGAACGATGGAGGAACAAAGTTTTCCTGAACTGACCATGACCCACTATGTCTATTGATGAATGAGCAAGTTCTTGCGATCAAAAAGCAGTCTGTTAAATGGAACAAAAATCTGAAACCAGATTGAGATACCAATCTGAATGATCCTAGTAAGGAGGTGGATTGTTCAGATTGCAGTCTAAGATTGGTTTGATCCTTTATGGAATGAAAAATCAAATTTCAGATTTCAAAATGTGGATTTAGATTGGTCAAAAGGAATGCAGCCTAAACTGCAGAAGAAATGTGTAAATCCTGACCTTATAAATCTCTTGCCACTTTGTAACTTCGTTTGCTCCAGAAGACGCAGAAGACATGTTAAAATTTGGGGGTTCAATAACTGGTCCCTTTACTGATACTTCTTTGTAAGTGCCCAGTCCCTGGCATTAATAAAAATAACACAAACATTAACATGATATTTGCTCTGATAACAAAGTGTGGGCATACTTTGTGTTGAGGTGCCCAGTTTCTGCATTTAAAAGAACTACAGAGCTTCTGTGTGGCACTGAACTTTTGTCGCTTTAGTTTTGCTAATGAGAGTTCTTTTTGTTTTACATGCAGGAACTAATTTTTTCTGTGGGTAAAGACTGGCTATTCTAGCTGGGAATTAACTTTTACAGCTGCTGCAAGTTGGGTCTTTGGGTTCATCTGAGTACATATAATGGAGTGAAATAACATGTTCATCGTGTTTGTATGTATGTTGGAGGGTGGGTAGGGATGAAAACTGGGGAGGGGGAGGTTACATTTATCCGTTCGCAATCTCTGCGATCAAACAGATCAGACCTGTAAAATTGTCAGTAGCAATTGACAGAATCAATAAGATTACATGCTAAGCATTTGGTAAGATATTAAAGGCATAAAAGCTTAAGTCCATGATACCATCGAAGTATACATAAGGTTATTAAAGCTAGTTTAACCTTAACTTTATAGGTAAAAATATAAGCTTATGTTGCTGATGACAAAGAGAAGCAAGGGAATTATAAAAATATAACTACTTGGTTTATTACCAAAAATATAGCAAAAAGTATTTTGAAATAGGATATACCTGGGGTTGATAAGCAGCAGCAGCGTCAGCTTGGGAAACTCTCCCTGAAAAAGAATTATGTTTGTAGAACATCGGCCACTACAAAATGGCGAACAATATGGCGTTCAAAGGGAATTGAGACGCGCACAGGAGTATGGGTAAAGCTACTTTCTCCATGTGTCCAGGCCCCCGGTTGTTCAAAATGTGTATGGCGCTATATCGATGACGCAATATTAGTCTTCGTAATACCCTGTATCCATTGGATAGCGATTTATGACTGTACAGATGCGCACTTCCCCTTCCCTAATTAACCCCTTCTCTAACCGTTGCCTCCTTCCCAAAATATTTAGCCCAGTCCAGGCTCTCAGGAAGATGCATAAGGCAGGAGTGAGTGGGGAAGACGTATAAGGGAGGAGCTAAGACACCCTACCCACCTCTTCCCCTGACAGAAACTTCTAAGTGGGTTGGGTCAATGGTTAGCTCCCCAATAAAAAAAAATGGAATTGGGTAATATTTTTATTGGACGTTTTATTTTCATGACAATGTAACAGGAGCCCATTACCATTTCTTGAGAAATGCAGTGTGGTTACATTGGGGAATGTGACTACCTTCTTGACTTCTTAAAACCAGAACCAGAAGCGAGCGGTCCCTACATATTTCTGGTTATCCTAGGTAGCTTTTGCTCTGAAAAGCCACTTTGCTACTGTTGACGGGTTCAGATTGATTTCCATGAGGGAATGTCATGTTTTAAATCTCCATATTTTTTAAACCATAATCTTTGTTATTGTTGTTGTTTTTTGTTCGTCTGTTTGTCTTTTAACAACAGCAACAACTTTTAATTAAACACGGTTTAAATCACAGCTTATGGGGCCGTGTACATATTAATTAAATCGTGCTCATTTTAATAGTACTTAATTGTAATTAAGAATCTATACCTAAAAAGTGAAAATTACTAAAATACTTGTGTTATCAAAAAATATATAAATATATCATATGCTAATTAACGGCCTTAAATCATGGATCATGTAGTATTAAATTGATTATTAGTCAGTAGAAGACGAAATCACTGTCATTGGAGGAACTCATTTGGGGTGACTCAGCTGAGAAATTTATACTTTTGAAGGCTTGAGTGTTTATGGCCATATGTTTAGCGTAGGCTCTTGTGCTAGCCACGGGGGAATCTAACAAGTTCCAAGCAATGGATCCTCTGTACGAGATGGAGTTCTTCATCATATCTAGTAAGAAGCAAGAGCGTTAAGGTTCAGGTTAACAAATTGCTCTCTTTTAAAAACACTGAAAGGTGCCTTGACCACGTGAGCTTGATAGTCAGACAACTAACAATTTAGAATACGTTGTCAACTTTATGCGATGCTGGCCAATTTTTAAAGTACCAAGAGGCCCTGTAATTAATATTTGAATAATATCAATACATGATATTAGTTATGAGGATTAATATCAATACAGATGTCTCAAATCGGGATTTTTCCGATTGGTCGGGAATATCAAGCAAGATCGCGAGAATCCGGCGAGATCTTTCAGTGGTGGAATTCAGTTTATAATCCTTTAGATGACAACCGCGCGGCAGCCCCACCAAGTTTCTGGCCTGCGATCATATCCCTAGGTTCATTTCCTTGTCCTCCCGTGAAATGAAAGCCCTGGGGAATCGGAGGGATTCCCGGGTAAGGTGACCTCGTACCCAATGCCTCTCGACTTAAAATCTTACAAAATGGCTCCCTCGAAATTGTTCTTGCCCGATGCCTGAATACAGGAAGTTATCCATCTATTACACTATCTCCGCTCGCTATAAATGGATGGAATTATAACGCCATGAATAATTATGGAAACGGGTGAGGATGTTCTGGCATCGGAAGAATCTGTACAAGGCGGCGTGAGCAATCAAGAAGGAGGCGTTTTCCATGTGAATGCTGCTGGCGGTCGTGATCTGCGAAGCAGCCGCAAGAAAAAGTTAACGCGAAAGGTTTCCTTTCCAGATGATTCTCAGCTGGTCCGAGCTTTAGATCCAGTAGATCCATGGGAACATGGTAAGAATTTGAGTATGTCTGGTTTTATTTTTTCAAATATGGAAACAGAGACGGTCATCAAATTAATGCTTCAATTTTTGTGATTTTCCAAGCTTATAAGTGGTTGTGCCTCGAATGACAGTGCAGAATCATAAATATTGGTCTTCGCGTAATCACGTTTGTGATATAACCTTTTCTCTTGGGATGTGTAAAAACATATTGAACAGACTTTGGTGGTGATGATTTCCCATAATTTGCTTTTTGTCGTTGTTTACTGTATCTGTTTAAGGTCCACGGGGCACGAAAAAAATACTATTGCAAGTCACTTGTAATAGGCTATAAATGTGAACAACTCAGCTTTCTTAAATTTGATTTGACATTTATATTTTTAATGTAATATGCTGTGTCCGGTAAATTTTTTTGTCGGGTTTCTGTTAGATCATGTGCTTGAAAGAAAACAATATATTATGTTACAAGCGCCATAAAATGGCAACTGAAAATTTCCGACGCGTCGATGTTGTTTACATGACCGAAAAGTCTTCGACGTAAGCGGTGGTTAACTTTAACTTAACATTTATGTGTTAAATAATGTCAATAAAATAGGGCACGTTGTTGTCACGTTTCACTTCTCCTTCTTCTTGGAATTACATAATTTCACCCACGATCAAATTATGAAGAAAACTTCATCAGGATAGTGAAATGACCTTGACCCCGCGGGTAAGGAAATCAAACTTCGATGTCTAGATTGAATGAAAAATTTCTTTTTATGACAGTATTTTGTCTTTCAATTTCAAGAGCCTTACTGGTATTTACATACATACATGCACGCATACATCTAGCTGAATTTTTGAAAACGTTTCCCCCAAATGGACCTTTTTTGTGTCCAACAGTTTTCTTTTCATCCAACAGCAATCTCCAAAGTAACCAAATAACAACTAAGAGTGCAATCATTGCCTTTTTCTCTTCTCCTCCTTTCTTCCTCCTTGCTCTTTCTTTTTCTCCTTTCCTTTTCCCTCGTCAGTGTGATTTTGGAGCTTATCTGGCCCAAAAAACCTGTCTTTTTACTTAACTGATGGCAAATTCCATTTGGTTGGTTTTACAAAAAATAGGCTAGACATACATACACACACGCTTTTATTTGTTAAAGCAGGTTGAGGATTAATGCAGCCATAGGCTGATGTACGTGGACCTGCTATCTAATAATTACTTACAAAGAAAATAAAGTAACATGATAATGATAAAATATAGGTATGTACAGTCAGTGAAGTAAAAATTCAGATGGTTTCTAAAATTCTAAAAATATATAAAATTGTCACTAATTTTCTTCACTATCATATGGACCTTAAATGAAAATTGATTAATATCTTTAGAAAATCTACATAATATCTGTTTAATGTGGTCGTTCTTAGTTGTTTCACTTGAATTCAAATTAACTATTCTATTCCAAAAGTTCCAAATAACAGGTTAGCTTTTTTGTCATCATCCAGAACTTCCGTATCATTTTCATCTTTGAGAGGGCCAACTCTGGACAACTTTTGTTTAGCGGTAATACTATTAACTGGTTTTCAGGATGTGCTTGAATTATAAGCTTCAAAAAACTTTCCCTTCCGGTGGTGACTTTATTAGGAGCCAGCATGTATTCTATGCCAGTATTTCTTGGTTGCTTGTGTAGCATCAGAGGGATTTTTATAGTTTATACTGTTTGTTCATAGCTTTTGGCCTAATTTTCACTATTTGTCTAAGGCAAAGAACATTGTCTAATTATTTTACCTTGGCAACTAGATATGTGGCTGTCCTCAATATCATTAAACAACCTCTCCCAAGCCCAAACTACATCGTCTGTTTCATCAAAGATAGAAATAATTTTTTTTAGTGTAGTACAGATGTCTTTTGAAAAATGTATATCAGAACTGCTGTAAATAGTATCAGCAGTTTAATTTGTAATTTTTTCATACAAGAGTTGGTCTGAAATAAGGTCAGGAGTTGGGGAAATGGCGGCACAGCCCCACCAAGAATTCCCGAGAGAACCTTCCCCGGGGAAATGTAATAGTTGTATTTAAGAGGATGTGGTCTTGAGAAGGAGTTTGAAAAGTAATATCTGAAATAATTAATTTAGGCAGCTTGTCTCAATTCAATTTAACTTTTTTTATTTACATTATACAGGACCATAACACACAGTTTCTACTGTAAATAAAAGAAAAAAAGAAGTAGTAACATAAGGCTTAGAACAGATCTACCATTCATAAATGTTCGGTGTCCAAAGTAGCAAGAGCTTTCTAGATGTTAGACACTTCCATATTCAAGTAAATGGCAGTAAAAAATTAGATTAAAGCAATACAGCAGTAAAATCAATGCGGTCTGTTTTGGGGATGATTTTGTGGATAAATAATATCAGTTATTTTGTTACAAATAGTTCTGGTGAGTCCTGGGACTCTTCTTGTGAAAAATCATGAGTACCAGTCCAGAAGCAATGAGTCTTAGTTTAAAAAAAATGAGTCCGAAAGTGAAAATGCCTGGGCCTGTATGTAAGCAGAATGTTAATCTGGAGATAGACTCCAAAACTCTGTATTTCAGTATACTGAAATTAAAATATAGTTTTTCTATTTTAAAGCACAGCAAAGGTTAAAAAAAATGCATCGTTAAACAACAGTAATAATAACTGCCACAGAAATTGCATGAATGAGATATTTCTACAAATACACACGTTCAGATGGATCGATCAATCTTTGCATCCTACGGGACGCAGGACGTAGAGGTAACAAAATCACTGTTAAATTTATATCAGTCTGCCACGTGAGTGACCATTCTTTGTCCAGTGTAGAGAAGGATGAATATTGTCTGTTCTGTTGTAGGCTAGTGCAGCACTCTCAACCTAAAAGAATGAAATTAAAGTAAATTTATATGTTGATTGTTTTTGTTCTGTAGAAGAATATAAACTGGGGCAGCATTATTCAGCAGTTCCCATTTGGTTTCATCTGATTNGGTCTGTTTTGGGGATGATTTTGTGGATAAATAATATCAGTTATTTTGTTACAAATAGTTCTGGTGAGTCCTGGGACTCTTCTTGTGAAAAATCATGAGTACCAGTCCAGAAGCAATGAGTCTTAGTTTAAAAAAAATGAGTCCGAAAGTGAAAATGCCTGGGCCTGTATGTAAGCAGAATGTTAATCTGGAGATAGACTCCAAAACTCTGTATTTCAGTATACTGAAATTAAAATATAGTTTTTCTATTTTAAAGCACAGCAAAGGTTAAAAAAAATGCATCGTTAAACAACAGTAATAATAACTGCCACAGAAATTGCATGAATGAGATATTTCTACAAATACACACGTTCAGATGGATCGATCAATCTTTGCATCCTACGGGACGCAGGACGTAGAGGTAACAAAATCACTGTTAAATTTATATCAGTCTGCCACGTGAGTGACCATTCTTTGTCCAGTGTAGAGAAGGATGAATATTGTCTGTTCTGTTGTAGGCTAGTGCAGCACTCTCAACCTAAAAGAATGAAATTAAAGTAAATTTATATGTTGATTGTTTTTGTTCTGTAGAAGAATATAAACTGGGGCAGCATTATTCAGCAGTTCCCATTTGGTTTCATCTGATTAACTCAATCTGAATGCTGAAATCACTGACTAATAATTATTATGTTTTTATTTTGTTTCAGGTGGAAATCACAGCAATAAGGAAGTAATAGATGCCTACAGAAACACCTGCTCAAGGCTGAAAATCAAACCATGCGAAAAACTTATTAAACAGCTTGAGGTAAATTACTGGTACATAAATACATACATAGAAGTGGTTTGAAGCCAAGAATTATATACTACTAATTTATTTAATGGCTTTAAATATTTTTTGCACAAGTCTTAGAGCTAAGACAAAAGCTCTTTTCCTTTTCATATATAATAGCACATCTTATCAAGAGCATTTGTTTTGTTTTACCAGGCATGTGAGAGTTTTAAAGACAGAATTGATGTTATAGACCTAAGAGGTATGAGTAACAACTGAAACAGGGGTTTACTTTTGCATTTGATTAGTATTATATATTGAATGAAAGTGTGGCTATGAAAGTGTTTTTTCACAGCTAATAAGATTGTTAGCCAGTTGCACAGTCTTTCTAGACCACCCTAGCAATGTACCCTATCTACTCTATACATTCATACACTGTAGGATAAAGGTTGATTGAACGTGATGATGCAAGTGATTTTCAAGTTAAAAGGAAACCAAATTATTAGCTGTCCATTGGATAAGCATTATGAAAATCACATTATCCACTGGATAAAAACATTACATAGCACTATCCAGTCCTTTTGAACAACTTGGCCTGTATGTTGCAGAAAATGGGAACATGTGCAATGGGTGCTGGTTTCATGCATTTCTTTGATTTAGGAAATTCAATTTAATAAGAATAGGTAAACAGACACTCCAAATCCTTATAATTTAATGATCTCTTATTAAGTGATTCTGATTCACAAGCCAAATATTGTCCTTTCCAGGAAGTAAACTTGATGCAAAGAACTGTGAAGCTCTTGAGGAAGTGTTTAGAAGGGTCAGAACTAAGACATTAGACTTGGAAAACACAGGATTAGATGATGATGTAAGCTCCACTTGTGGAGAATGTTAGATGACTATTAATTTTTAGACAAGTGGATGTCCTTTTTTATTTTTCTTGTGCCAGATTTGATTCTTCTCACTGTTTATTTTATGATTTTGTTTTTCATTTTGTTCCTTTGTTTTTCTTGTTTGCAGGGGGCTGTTTCATTGCTGGAAATGGTTGAGTTCTACAAGACCACTTGTAAGCTCAACTTGGCTTATAATACTAAAATTAAAATCAGAGGCTGGCAAGCTCTTTCTAGGACTTTGAAGAAGGTAAAAAAAGTGGCATGATTGATTTTTACTTGCTAATTATCTAAAGTTTTCCTCAAACCATTCAAGAATGAACTTTTTGCTTTTTTCTCTGTGCAGTTTTTCCAGTAACGAATTTTATTTGAACTTTACATTTTTATGTCAAAAATTGTCTATTTTAGGCCAGTCCTCTCATGAAGGTATGGTCTCTTGATAAGACTTCAACAAAATTTTTTTTGAAAGATGTGGATGGATTTCATGAAACAATGTACAGCAAAGTTTCAAGTGTCTCCCAGAAACAGGCAAAATATACTTCCATCCCAAACAGGTTGCCAAATCGTCTGGAAAAAAAGTTGCTACTGCATTTTTCTCTAATATTAATGTAAATACCTCAATGAAAATCTAAGGAATGTTGATTTTAAAAATTTCCTATTCTTATTTCTTATCCTCGTGGAGTTCTAACACACACTGACTTATTTTGATCATTGAATCTGCTTGATCCTTTTTCTTGACAGACTCCATGCTTAGAGTATCTGGACATAAGAAATACATTGTGGACAGAACAGTCCCTACCCCTCTTAGGACGGTCATTAAGGCTAGACTGTTGTCTGACTGTGTTACACATGGAAAACACCAATCTGTCAGGACGATCACTATTTCTTCTTGGTATGTGAATGTTTGTTCCACATGTTTTTTTCAGCCTTACATGTTGTAGAAGGTGTAACACATTCCACCACCAATAGCAACTAAAAGGCCTCGAAACATCACTTGATCTCTTCCACCTCTCAACAGATAAACAGGGGCCTTGGTTTTCTATGAAAAGAAAACAACTCATAGAGATTAGTCCAGAAATGTATGCTTTAATAGAAGTGGCAGATTTGGTGTTAATTGACATTTAGCCATTTCATCAACTTCACCACTTTATAAGGAGCTGCTCTTGAAAAATTCTTCAGATTCTTGCCAACCCTCTTGCGATTTTTTGCCAGATTTGCCATAGCATGCACTTCTGGACGTGAGAAAACTTGTGAATTAAGTATTTGATTTTCTCTTACACAGTGGTTTCAATTCTGCTCATACATTGGTACCCCTATTAAGTGACTGAAGCCACCTTTTGGTTGTCCTGATAAAGATTTTCTATAGTTTTTTACCATTATTAAGCAGCCACCCAAAATTCAACATGTGTTTTTTGGCTTAGTTTTTGGTAGGGCAATAAGAATCAGAAATAGAAAGGGACACCTGAATGTTTATTAAGCAATAAAATACTCAAAATGTACCTGGGCATGTCAAGACCTTGTCACAGGATTCTCTCAAAATTGGTTTTGTTTGATTTTAAAATGTTTTATTATGTGCAACCGACGTTAAAAGTCTTCAAGCATGCTTGCATTTGAATAAATTGATGTTTCAAGTAAGTTTCAAACTAATTCCTGACAAACCCTTGATAAGCAAACAACCCCTACCGAATGGCCACTTGCCATTCCCCCAAGGGTGGTTGAATAATAGGAGTGCAACTGTATTTGAATATAGTAAAACCTCTTTAAACGGACACCAAAAGGACAGAACCAAGTGTCCGCTTTACAGAGATGTCTGTATTATAGAGGTAGGGAATGTATGATTTTTGGCATTTCCGGGACCAAACGAAATGTCCGTAATATAGAGGTGTCTGTAAGGAGAACTGTATAAACTTTGCTGGTCAGTGATTCTCTTTGTGGTAACTATTAATTTATACTGGTACAAAATGGCTCCAGATTTTCAAAAAAATGACTGCAACATTTCTGGGGAAGGAGTCAATCTGCCTTTAAGGTTGTATTCCTTTTATAGGCTAAACTTTTCTTGGATTTAGAGAATCCAGATTGTTTGGATTTTCATGGTAGCTGGAACAAACATCTGAAATAAGATTGATTCATAAAGTAGCTGCCTGCTGCATTGATCTCTTTCACAATTTCAATGCTTCTCTTTTTATTTCTTTCCATGAAATTAAACATCTTCTTGTGAAGATCTGAAAGGGATTCAGAATGGGACTCTGGAATTTGAACCAAACACATTTAGAAGACGGTTATGAAACTTCAAATTATGTTGATTAAACACACACACTGGACATTTAATTGTGAGAAAATTGCTTCTTTACAGTTTTAGAGTAACAGTGCAACTTGCATTTGCTAACTACAATCCTTTTGTGGCATAGAACAATGGAGGAACAAAGTTTGCCTGAACTGACCATGACCCACTATGTTTATTGATGAATGAGCAAGTTCTTGCGATCAAACAGTAGCGCATTAAATGGAACAAAAATCTGAAACCACATTGAGATACTAATCTGAATGATCCAAGGAAGGAGGTGGATTGTTCAGATTGCAAAATCTGGATTTAGATTGGTCAAAAGGAACACCGCCTCAATTGCAGAAGAAAAGTGTAAATCCTGACCTTATAAATCTCTTGCCACTTTGTAACTTCATTTGCTCCAGAAGATGCAGAAGACATGTTGAAATTCGGGGGTTCTATAACTGGTCCCTTTACTAATACTTCTTTGTAAGTGCCCAGTCCCTGGCAATAATAAAAATAACACAAACATTAACATGATATTTGCTCTGATAACAAATTGTGGGCATACTTTGTGTTGAGGTGCCCAGTTTCTGCATTTAAAAGAACTACAGAGCTTCTGTGTGGCACTGAACTTTTGCCGCTTTAGTTTTGCTAATGAGAGTTCTTTTTGTTTTACATGCAGGAACTAATTTTCTCTGTGGGTAAAGACTGGCTATTCTAGCTGGGAATTAACTTTTACAGCTGCTACAAGTTGTGTCTTTGGGTTCATCTGAGTACATATAATGGAGTGAAATAACATGTTCATCATGTTTGTATGTATGTTGGAGGGTGGGTAGGGATGAAAACTGGGGAGCTTTCTTTGGCAATCTCTGCGATCAAACAGATCAGACCTGTAAAATTGTCAGTAGCAATTGACAGAATCAATAAGATTACATGCTAAGCATTTGGTAAGATATTAAAGGCATAAAAGCTTAAGTCCATGATGCCATCGAAGTATACATAAGCTTATTAAAGCTAGTTTAACCTTAATTTTATAGGTAAAAATATAAGCTTATGTTGCTGATGACAAAGAGAAGCAAGGGAATTATAAAAATATAACTACTTGGTTTATTACCAAAAATATAGCAAAAAGTATTTTGAAATAGGATATACCTGGGGTTGATAAGCAGCAGCAGCGTCAGCTTGGGAAACTCTCCCTGAAAAAGAATTATGTTTGTAGAACATCGGCCACTACAAAATGGCGAACAATATGGCGTTCAAGGGGAACTGAGACGCGCACAGGAGTATGGGTAAAGCTACTTTCTCCATGTAAAGGAAACAAAAAGTCCAGGCCCCCGGTTGTTCAAAATGTGTATAGCGCTATCGATGACGCAATTAGTCTTCGTAATACCCTGTATCCATAGGATAGCGATTTATGAGTGTACAGATGCGCACTTCCCCTTCCCTAATTAACCCCTTCTCTAACCCTTGCCCCCTTCCCAAAATATTTAGTCCAGTCCAGGCTCTCAGGAAGATGCATAAGGCAGGAGCGAGTGGGGAAGACGTATAAGGAGGGAGCTTAGACACCCTACCCACCTCTTCCCCTGAGAGAAACTTCTAAGTGGGTTGGGTCAATGGGTAGCTCCCCAATGAAAAAAAAAATAGAATTGGGTAATGTTTTTATTGGACGTTTTATTTTCATGACAATGTAACAGGAGCCCATTACCATTTCTTGAGAAATGCAGTGTGGTTACATTGGGGAATGTGACTACCTTCTTGACTTCTTAAAACCAGAACCAGGAGCGAGCGGTCCCTACATATTTCTGGTTATCCTAGGTAGCTTTTGCTCTGAAAAGGCACTTTGCTACTGTTGACGGGTTCAGATTGATTTCGATGAGGGAATGTCATGTTTTAAATCTCCATATTTTTTAAACCATAATCTTTGCTATTGTTGTTGTTTTTTGTTCGTCTGTTTGTCTTTATCAACAGCAACAACTTTTAATTAAACACGGTTTAAATCACAGCTTATGGGGCCGTGTACATATTAATAAAATCGTGCCATTTTAATAGTACTTAATTGTAATTAAGAATCTATACCTAAAAAGTGAAAATTACTAAAATACTTGTGCTATCAAAAAAATATATAAATATATCATATGCTAATTAACGGTCTTGAATCAAGGATCATGTAGTATTAAATTGATTATTAGTCAGTAGAAGACGAAATCACTGTAATTGGAGGAACTCATTTGGGGTGACTCAGCTGAGGAATTGATACTTTTGAAGGCTTGAGTGTTTATGGCCATATTTTTAGCGTAGGCTCTTGTGCTAGCCACGGGGGGATCTAACAAGTTCCAAGCAATGGATCCTCTGTACGAGATGGAGTTCTTCATCATATCTAGTAAGAAGCAAGAGCGTTAAGGTTCAGGTTAACAAATTGCTCTCTTTTAAAAACACTGAAAGGTGCCTTGACCACGTGAGCTTGATAGTCAGACAACTAACAATTTAGAATACGTTGTCAACTTTATGCGATGCTGGCCAATTTTTAAAGTACCAAGAGGCCCTGTAATTAATATTTGAATAATATCAATACATGATATTAGTTATGAGGATTAATATCAATACAGATGTCTCAAATCGGGATTTTTCCGATTGGTCGGGAATATCAAGCAAGATCGCGAGAATCCGGCGAGATCTTTCAGTGGTGGAATTCAGTTTATAATCCTTTAGATGACAACCGCGCGGCAGCCCCACCAAGTTTCTGGCCTGCGATCATATCCCTAGGTTCATTTCCTTGTCCTCCCGTGAAATGAAAGCCCTGGGGAATCGGAGGGATTCCCGGGTAAGGTGACCTCGTACCCAATGCCTCTCGACTTAAAATCTTACAAAATGGCTCCCTCGAAATTGTTCTTGCCCGATGCCTGAATACAGGAAGTTATCCATCTATTACACTATCTCCGCTCGCTATAAATGGATGGAATTATAACGCCATGAATAATTATGGAAACGGGTGAGGATGTTCTGGCATCGGAAGAATCTGTACAAGGCGGCGTGAGCAATCAAGAAGGAGGCGTTTTCCATGTGAATGCTGCTGGCGGTCGTGATCTGCGAAGCAGCCGCAAGAAAAAGTTAACGCGAAAGGTTTCCTTTCCAGATGATTCTCAGCTGGTCCGAGCTTTAGATCCAGTAGATCCATGGGAACATGGTAAGAATTTGAGTATGTCTGGTTTTATTTTTTCAAATATGGAAACAGAGACGGTCATCAAATTAATGCTTCAATTTTTGTGATTTTCCAAGCTTATAAGTGGTTGTGCCTCGAATGACAGTGCAGAATCATAAATATTGGTCTTCGCGTAATCACGTTTGTGATATAACCTTTTCTCTTGGGATGTGTAAAAACATATTGAACAGACTTTGGTGGTGATGATTTCCCATAATTTGCTTTTTGTCGTTGTTTACTGTATCTGTTTAAGGTCCACGGGGCACGAAAAAAATACTATTGCAAGTCACTTGTAATAGGCTATAAATGTGAACAACTCAGCTTTCTTAAATTTGATTTGACATTTATATTTTTAATGTAATATGCTGTGTCCGGTAAATTTTTTTGTCGGGTTTCTGTTAGATCATGTGCTTGAAAGAAAACAATATATTATGTTACAAGCGCCATAAAATGGCAACTGAAAATTTCCGACGCGTCGATGTTGTTTACATGACCGAAAAGTCTTCGACGTAAGCGGTGGTTAACTTTAACTTAACATTTATGTGTTAAATAATGTCAATAAAATAGGGCACGTTGTTGTCACGTTTCACTTCTCCTTCTTCTTGGAATTACATAATTTCACCCACGATCAAATTATGAAGAAAACTTCATCAGGATAGTGAAATGACCTTGACCCCGCGGGTAAGGAAATCAAACTTCGATGTCTAGATTGAATGAAAAATTTCTTTTTATGACAGTATTTTGTCTTTCAATTTCAAGAGCCTTACTGGTATTTACATACATACATGCACGCATACATCTAGCTGAATTTTTGAAAACGTTTCCCCCAAATGGACCTTTTTTGTGTCCAACAGTTTTCTTTTCATCCAACAGCAATCTCCAAAGTAACCAAATAACAACTAAGAGTGCAATCATTGCCTTTTTCTCTTCTCCTCCTTTCTTCCTCCTTGCTCTTTCTTTTTCTCCTTTCCTTTTCCCTCGTCAGTGTGATTTTGGAGCTTATCTGGCCCAAAAAACCTGTCTTTTTACTTAACTGATGGCAAATTCCATTTGGTTGGTTTTACAAAAAATAGGCTAGACATACATACACACACACTTTTATTTGTTAAAGCAGGTTGAGGATTAATGCAGCCATAGGCTGATGTACGTGGACCTGCTATCTAATAATTACTTACAAAGAAAATAAAGTAACATGATAATAACAAAATATAAGTATGTACAGTCACTGAAGTAAAAATTCAGATGGTTTCTAAAATTCTAAAAATATATAAAATTGTCACTAATTTTCTTCACTATCATGTGGACCTTAAATGAAAATTGATTAATATCTTTAGAAAATCTACATAATATCTGTTTAATGTGGTCGTTCTTGGTTGTTTCACTTGAATTCAAATTAACTATTCTATTCCAAAAGTTCCAAATAACAGGTTAGCTTTTTTGTCATCATCCAAAACTTCCGCATCATTTTCATCTTTGAGAGGGCCAGCTCTGGACAACTTTTGTTTAGCGGTAATACTATTAACTGTTTTTCATGATGTGCTTGAATTATAAGCTTCAAAAAACTTTCCCTTCCAGTGGTGACTTTATAAGGAGCCAGCATGTATTCTATGCCAGTATTTCTTGGTTGCTTGTGTAGCACCAGAGGGATTTTAATAGTTTATAGTGTTTGTTCATAGCTTTCGGCCTAATTTTCACTATTCGTCTAAGGCAAAGAACATTGTCTAATTATTTTAACTTGGTAACTAAATATGTGGCTGTCCACAACATCATTAATCAATCTCTCCCAAGTCCAAACTACATCGTCCGTTTCATCAAAGATAGAACAAATCCACCATGGTGCATTTTTCAGGTCGTGTTGAAAAGGTTCTGGATTTTCATTTACCTCCTTAAAATGTTTTACATGCTTTATTGTTGGAGGAGGATTGTGTGACGTAATCAGGTTTCAAATAAACCTATCATGTCTCCAGCATAAAAACAAGACCTATCTAACAATGCTCTTAATTTGAATAATTATTTTCTTCTCTTTAGTGTATGACTGTTTTCTGGCTGTTATTTGCAAACTATAAGTTAAACTTTTCAAAATAATTTTTTTTAGTGTAGTACAGATATCTTTTGAAAAATATATATCAGAACTGCTGTAAATAGCATCAATTTTAAGCAGTTTAATTTGTAATTTTTTGGTACAAGAGTTGGTCTGAAATAGGGTCAGGATTTGGAGAAATGGCGGCACAGCCCCACCAAGAATTCCCAGGAGAACTTCCGCCAGGAAAATGTAATGGTTGTATTTAAGAGGATGTGGTCTTGAGTAGGAGTTTGAAAAGTAATATCTGAGATAATTAAAGTAAACAGCATGTCTCAATTCAATTTAACTTTTTTATTTACATTATACAGGACCATAACACACAGTTTCTACTGCAAATAAAAGAAAAAAAGAAGTAGTAACATAAGGCTTAGAACAGATATACCATTCATAAATGTCCGGTGTCCAAAGTAGCAAGAGCTTTCTAGACTTTAGACACTTCCATATTCAAGTAAATGGCAGTAAAAAATTAGATTAAAGCAAATCTGCAGGAAAATCAAGTTTAATACATCAAGAGGTCTAAAGTTATATTATATTGTTGAAAAAAAGTCTGTTTTGGGGATGATTTTGTGGATAAATAATATCAGTTATTTTGTTACAAATAGTTCTGGTGAGTCCTGGGACTCCTCTTGTGAAAAATCATGAGTCTCGGTCTAGAACCAATGAGTCTTAGTTTAAAAAAAATGAGTCCGAAAGTGAAAATGCGTGGGCCTGTATGTAAGCAGAAGGTTAATCTGAAGACAGACTCCAAAACTCTGTATTTCAGTATACTGAAATTAAAATATAGTTTTTCTATTTTAAAGCACAGCAAAGGTTAAAAAAAATGCATCGTTAAACAACAGTAATAATAACTGCCACAGAAATTGCATGAATGAGATATTTCTTCAAATGCACACGTTCAGATGGATCGAGCAATCTTTGCATCCTACGGGACGCAGGACGTAGAGGTAACAAAATCACTGTTAAATTTATATCAGTCTGCCACGTGAGTGACCATTCTTTGTCCAGTGTAGAGAAGGATGAATATTGTCTGTTCTGTTGTAGGCTAGTGCAGCACTCTCAACCTAAAAGAATGAAATTAAAGTAAATTTATATGTTGATTGTTTTTGTTCTGTAGAAGAATATAAACTGGGGCAGCATTATTCAGCAGTTCCCATTTGGTTTCATCTGATTAACTCAATCTGAATGCTGAAATCACTGACTAATAATTATTATGTTTTTATTTTGTTTCAGGTGGAAATCACAGCAATAAGGAAGTAATAGATGCCTACAGAAACACCTGCTCAAGGCTGAAAATCAAACCATGCGAAAAACTTATTAAACAGCTTGAGGTAAATTACTGGTACATAAATACATACATAGAAGTGGTTTGAAGCCAAGAATTATATACTACTAATTTATTTAATGGCTTTAAATATTTTTTGCACAAGTCTTAGAGCTAAGACAAAAGCTCTTTTCCTTTTCATATATAATAGCACATCTTATCAAGAGCATTTGTTTTGTTTTACCAGGCATGTGAGAGTTTTAAAGACAGAATTGATGTTATAGACCTAAGAGGTATGAGTAACAACTGAAACAGGGGTTTACTTTTGCATTTGATTAGTATTATATATTGAATGAAAGTGTGGCTATGAAAGTGTTTTTTCACAGCTAATAAGATTGTTAGCCAGTTGCACAGTCTTTCTAGACCACCCTAGCAATGTACCCTATCTACTCTATACATTCATACACTGTAGGATAAAGGTTGATTGAACGTGATGATGCAAGTGATTTTCAAGTTAAAAGGAAACCAAATTATTAGCTGTCCATTGGATAAGCATTATGAAAATCACATTATCCACTGGATAAAAACATTACATAGCACTATCCAGTCCTTTTGAACAACTTGGCCTGTATGTTGCAGAAAATGGGAACATGTGCAATGGGTGCTGGTTTCATGCATTTCTTTGATTTAGGAAATTCAATTTAATAAGAATAGGTAAACAGACACTCCAAATCCTTATAATTTAATGATCTCTTATTAAGTGATTCTGATTCACAAGCCAAATATTGTCCTTTCCAGGAAGTAAACTTGATGCAAAGAACTGTGAAGCTCTTGAGGAAGTGTTTAGAAGGGTCAGAACTAAGACATTAGACTTGGAAAACACAGGATTAGATGATGATGTAAGCTCCACTTGTGGAGAATGTTAGATGACTATTAATTTTTAGACAAGTGGATGTCCTTTTTTATTTTTCTTGTGCCAGATTTGATTCTTCTCACTGTTTATTTTATGATTTTGTTTTTCATTTTGTTCCTTTGTTTTTCTTGTTTGCAGGGGGCTGTTTCATTGCTGGAAATGGTTGAGTTCTACAAGACCACTTGTAAGCTCAACTTGGCTTATAATACTAAAATTAAAATCAGAGGCTGGCAAGCTCTTTCTAGGACTTTGAAGAAGGTAAAAAAAGTGGCATGATTGATTTTTACTTGCTAATTATCTAAAGTTTTCCTCAAACCATTCAAGATTGAACTTTTTGCTTTTTTCTCTGTGTAGTTTTTCCAGTAATGAATTTTATTTGAACTTTACATTTTTATGTCAAAAATTGTCTATTTTAGGCCAGTCCTCTCATGAAGGTATGGTCTCTTGATAAGACTTCAACAAAATTTTTTTTGAAAGATGTGGATGGATTTCATGAAACAATGTACAGCAAAGTTTCAAGTGTCTCCCAGAAACAGGCAAAATATACTTCCATCCCAAACAGGTTCCCAAATCATCTGGAAAAAAAGTTGCTACTGCATTTTTCTCTAATATTAATGTAAATACCTCAATGAAAATCTAAGGAATGTTGATTTTAAAAATTTCCTATTCTTATTTCTTATCCTCGTGGAGTTCTAACACACACTGACTTATTTTGATCATTGAATCTGTTTGATCCTTTTTCTTGACAGACTCCATGCTTAGAGTATCTGGACATAAGAAATACATTGTGGACAGAACAGTCCCTACCCCTCTTAGGACGGTCATTAAGGCTAGACTGTTGTCTGACTGTGTTACACATGGAAAACACCAATCTGTCAGGACGATCACTATTTCTTCTTGGTATGTGAATGTTTGTTCCACATGTTTTTTTCAGCCGGCATCCTACAATATTATACAGTTGACTCTCTCTTAATGGCCACCTCTATAAGACGGACACCTCTGTAAAACTGACACCTAGAGTTGGTCCCGGCCTTTCTCTCCCCCCTCTATTTGACTCTCTATAAAACGGACGTCTCTCTCTCTAATAATAATAATAATAATAATAATAATAATAATAATAATAATAATAATAATAATAATAATAATAAAGACAGACAGCTAGTGCTGGTCCCAGAGGTGTCCATCTTAAAGAGAGTTGACTGTAGTTACAAAATAGAAGAGAACATCACATGTGAGTTAGAGAAACATTGCATATTAGATAGCACTTACTAGGTGAAGGACACCTCATATATTTTCCAAATTACATATTTACGTTTAACACCCCTGATCACTGGATGGGTTGCTGGTCCATTACAAGGGTTCCTTCAAGTGATATCCATTTATATTCAAGAAAGGAGAAGAGCTGGAGCTAGCCAAGCTTCTTAACTTAAGGAACATCATAACAGCAGAGACTGGACCCAGCATGAAGTCTCAGCTGCACCACAGTGACTGCAGTGAATCACCTTTATTTGAATACTTTCTGTTTCCTGTGTTAATAGCCAGTGCAGTGAAGTTTAACCACACCCTTCAAGACTTGTTTCTTGGTGATAATAAGCTCATATCATCAGATGGACAGACATTGGGTGCCATGCTGAAGGGAAATGACCACCTTCAATTGCTAGATTTAAGGAACAATCCATTACAGGTACCATTTTTAATCTACTTGTTACTACAACTAGGCTCTTCCAGTTTCCTTAGTGTAAAAGTTTAAAGGGCTTTTTGCATTTTGCCAGGTGTAACAGTTTTGGAGTTGGATTATTGACCTTTTTTAACAATACTGTAAAAGATGTAAACAGGGACTTCAAAGGAAAAAAAAAACAGTTCATCTATGTAGCACCCTTTCTGTTGTGATCTGTTTGATAAATCGACAGACCATGGAAAATTATTTTCCATGGTCTGTACTCTTATCAACAATAAAAATGACATCAACACATTCAAAACTCAAGTGGAGCCACAAACTGCAGGCAAGTGGTTTCACTCCTAGGTTTTGAACATTTTGTAAGGTCATTTATATGGTAGATAAGAGTGCAGACCATGGAAAATTGTAATAAATAATATTTACAATTTTGGCATCCATTTCCAATGAAGTTTCCTGGAAAATCGACGAAAAAGAGCGAAAAAGTTGCACCCTTATCAAGTCATTACCAGGGTCTGTACTCTTATCGAACATAGCTCTCCACCAATCAGCATTCAGTTGCAAATATTTCTCTGGCAACTGTTAGTTGGGAATATGTTAGATATGTATAATTTTTTTGCTTTTATGTAGGACATGGGTATAGGTTATATATGTGAAGGTTTATCTGAACAGCACAATGGTGGACTACAAACTCTGGTGCTTTGGAGTACTCAGCTTACAAGCCACGGAGCAGGCTACCTGGCTAATGCACTGGTAAGATCATTTCCTTCAAGGCTGGAATATTGAGCAACTATGACAGTGACAGCGACAAATGCAAGGTGGAACGTCCACAAAGGAAAAAGCTTTATGACCAAAACATCAACTCTGTTGAGTACATTTCCTTACTGCAGCCATTGCACAATTACGAAGTAAAATTTGCATAAATGACATTTCAATAAGGACATAAAACAAACAAGGACAAAATTTACCCTTTTGTTGTAAACTTCAATGCTATTCCTGGGAAATGAACTCCAGAAGAATTTACCTTTATTAATTTTGTCAAATTCAACTTTGAATACTGGTAGTAGTTTGAAAGAAAGTTAATTGTATTATTTTGTTTAGTGACATTTTCTTTGTTGTCATTGCTGTTGAACATGTGATTGGCAAGAAATGAAATGTAAATACTTATTGAGGAGAGGAATTTTTTGCACTTTGCATGAAATTTGACAATTTATTCTGTTCAATGTATATTCAGACTGGTGGTGAAGACATGATGCATAGTGTGTGTTTTTTTTTAAATCAAGTGGCTGATTTTCCTTCATTTGTAGTTGTGCACCAATTCTCTTCAAACTCTTAACCTTGGACACAATCGCCTGACTAATGATGGGATTCATGCACTGAAAGAAGGTCTCCTGAGGAACCAGTCTATACAGAGACTCGGCCTTTCAAATACAAGACTTTCCAGTGAAGGTAGGAAAAACCATAAACACAGACTGCTCATAGTAGAGTAACAGATGCTGGATTCTTGATCAATAAAATTTGCCTCAAAGTTGCCATGACAGGATTGCCAAACCCTAACACAATTAAACTCATCTTATGTCGTTTGTGGCCATGTCATCTAGTTTTATGTTGGTGTTTCAAGGCCATGTCTCTTGTCTTAATTTAACTCTAACAGGGCCTCGTTAAGGGCATGCATAAGTTTCTAATACTCTCTTATTTTGGTAGGAATAATTGCTCTTGCTGAGGTGATTGCAGACAGTAAAACAATCCTAAGAGTGGATCTTCGTAACAACGATCCATATGTCGNGAGGAATTTTTTGCACTTTGCATGAAATTTGACAATTTATTCTGTTCAATGTATATTCAGACTGGTGGTGAAGACATGATGCATAGTGTGTGTTTTTTTTTAAATCAAGTGGCTGATTTTCCTTCATTTGTAGTTGTGCACCAATTCTCTTCAAACTCTTAACCTTGGACACAATCGCCTGACTAATGATGGGATTCATGCACTGAAAGAAGGTCTCCTGAGGAACCAGTCTATACAGAGACTCGGCCTTTCAAATACAAGACTTTCCAGTGAAGGTAGGAAAAACCATAAACACAGACTGCTCATAGTAGAGTAACAGATGCTGGATTCTTGATCAATAAAATTTGCCTCAAAGTTGCCATGACAGGATTGCCAAACCCTAACACAATTAAACTCATCTTATGTCGTTTGTGGCCATGTCATCTAGTTTTATGTTGGTGTTTCAAGGCCATGTCTCTTGTCTTAATTTAACTCTAACAGGGCCTCGTTAAGGGCATGCATAAGTTTCTAATACTCTCTTATTTTGGTAGGAATAATTGCTCTTGCTGAGGTGATTGCGGACAGTAAAACAATCCTAAGAGTGGATCTGCGTAACAACGACCCATATGTCGGGGGACTGATGGCTCTTTCACTGGCACTCAAGGTCAACAATACCCTTGTGAGAATAGACTTGGATAAAGAACTCAAAAAGGAACCAGTGAGTTCTTTGTTGTATTATTATTACTATCATTATTATTATTATTATTATTATTATTATTATTATTATTACTATTACTATTATTATTATTATTATAAGGTCTGTGTATAGTCTCCTTCTTGTGCAGTCACGAAGAAGTCACAAGAGAGCCGCATGCAAAAGGAAACACGAGTGCCAGGGGTGGAGAAAGAAAGGAGAGCTTGCAATGATCTCTTACAAATTTTCACTGCCATCCCAGAAACGGCAGGAAACCGCAAAGCAATAAAACTGTCACATGAATTAAGAAATGTGTCAGCCGCTTTTCAATATAATACCCTCATTCAAATGTTCCAGTTACACTAATGCTCCAACAAAACCAAAATATTACAATTTTGTACTAAGACAAGACTACTAAAAGGGAATCATTGGTCTGGACCTCCTTGTCTGAAACACAGCCTAAAAACTGAGTAGGATCTACAATATTCCTTGAATTCAACAGGGACGTGTTGCTTTTTAAAAAGCCCCTGCATCCTGTTTATACTTCAGCATCAACAGAAATCACATTCGTTTCTTTATTTGTCATTATTTATCACTGGATGTTTCTTTCCTTATTTTTCTTGTGCACACCGACCTTCCATGTATGCGCCTGGATCTAAAAATCAACATGTTGATTCTGCTTTCGCTGTGTGGAAACTCACACAACTGCGTAATGTTTTCCTGGTAACTTCTACGCTGCATTCCCTTGTTAGTCTTTTGAAGTACTTACAATCCACAGTAGTTTTTTTTATGGAAAGAAAGGGTGATCTTCTTCCTTGCCAGCAAATCTTTCTTGGAGAAAGGAGCAATTACCCTTAAAAAAAACCTCTGGTGCCCCGGATAACGAGCAATCTACCCAACTGATTTTGGAAAGCATTGGCAAAAATTTATGGTGGGTCAGCCAGGACTGTCATCAATGAACTTTAACTTCCGGAATGTCATGTTTTAGCCAGTGGTATTTCACTTCATCTGGACAAAGCAGAAATGAAAATTTAGAGGAGATTGTTACAAGCTCTCCTTTTCCTCACCCCCCAGCTTTGCCGCTTACTCATGCATTCGCTCACCACTTGAAATGGAGAGCTTCCATGCAGGCTAGTCTGTGTAAGGCATTACAACATTGCTGAGTACATGTGATTTTGCCAAGTCAAATATGTGTGTTCAGTGGCACTGATAATCAGCTGCCCTTTCTTTCCCCTCTTTTGGCTAAAAGCACTTATAGGGTGTTTTCACAGCTTGTATTGAGTGACTTGTATTTATTTGTTTTCATCAGGGCATGGAAACCACACAGAGGATTATCCTTGCTGACATCTATGGCTATTGCCAGAGAAACAAGATGCAAGCAAAGGAGCGTGAGGAGCGTCAGCTTACCAATAACAGCCAGACTGAAGAAGGAACAGCTAGTGAAACAGAAAGCAGTCATGGTGTAACAAGACATGCAGAAAACCTTCAGTCCGAGAGTCAGGATAAACTTGTTGCTTCAATTCCTCCACAACTAATTCAGTTAGAGAATCCTCCAGATATCAAGGAGGAGCTCAAAGTACTGACTGCAGACTATCCAGCCTGCAATTCACGGTTTAAAGTTACTACTGTACAAGAAGAAGATGAGGAACACACCTCACAAGATTCTAGCTCCAGTGGAGAAGAGCTTCTTAATGGCAGCAAAGAATTGCCACTTGTAGATTTATCAGAGGATTCTAATTGTTTTCCAAAATTGAACAGTACAAGCCCAACTAGTGACTTGCGTGACAGTAGTGCCAGTTTGTTTGGTGACTTGCGTGACAGCAATACCAGTGTGACTGGTGAATTGTTTCACAGCAGCAAGAGCGTGTCAGGTAGCATACATGATCAGATGCCAAGTGATCCACTTGTTAATTTAGATGATTCTGCTCAGTCAGGGGGTTTGATTTTACAGCCAAATGCAACTCCTACAAACCTCTCAGTACAAACAGATGTAAGGTCCACAGGTAAGCTGATTGCATGCACTTTAGAACAGGTTTCCATGAGAATGCAAATCAGTTTTTGAAATACNAAATTGAACAGTACAAGCCCAACTAGTGACTTGCGTGACAGTAGTGCCAGTTTGTTTGGTGACTTGCGTGACAGCAATACCAGTGTGACTGGTGAATTGTTTCACAGCAGCAAGAGCGTGTCAGGTAGCATACATGATCAGATGCCAAGTGATCCACTTGTTAATTTAGATGATTCTGCTCAGTCAGGGGGTTTGATTTTACAGCCAAATGCAACTCCTACAAACCTCTCAGTACAAACAGATGTAAGGTCCACAGGTAAGCTGATTGCATGCACTTTAGAACAGGTTTCCATGAGAATGCAAATCAGTTTTTGAAATACTGCTGAAGAATTTACATTAATTTTAATTGATGAAATGTTTAAATACTGCATAACATATCGTGCAAGTATTGATTTCAGTGAGAACCAGAAAAGATAAATAGTTTTTCAATGAAAGCTGGCCGACTGGAACAAACTGGAAAGAAGTAATAAACAATAACGTAATATCAGTGTGTTGGGTAAGCAGAGTTTAACCGCTTTAGTGGCCACTTTCTAGACTACTGGGTGACAAGATTTTTATCAAATCGCCAGAAACATGAACTCTATTAAGAGACGAATTGTACCCGTGTCATGGGAACCCTTAAAAGAAGTTCAAAATGTAAATTCTAAGCTGAAAATTTTCTGATAATTTTGTCTGCTGGGACTCAGACGGTGGCTGTTGAACAGGAGGCCTGCTTAGTAGATGACGTTTGTACCTTCAATTTCTTTCTTAAACAATTCTTACTTGTTTAGAGCCTAGTCCCTCACCTAGTGAACTGGAAAAGCAGCTTGATACCACGTTAGGAGACAAGAGAGTAAAAGAAAGGAACCACAACCCATTGTTGAATAACGTTCTGAAGACACAAGGTAAGTAGATCAGATAAATATGCTGTTGTACTCTTGTACTTCAAGCTTGTGAATGGCGGATTAAAAAAATTGGAAAAAGGCGGTGAATTGTAAGATTATTTCTTGGTAGTAACTTACAAACAAGATCTAGTGTTTCCACAGCCTGTTGAAGAGTAAGTTTTTAGAAAGCTTTGTAATAGAAATTCTTTATGTTTGTTTTCAGAATTTTGGAAAAAACAGATGGACGACCTCATAAAAGGCACAACAAATAACACACCCCCTCCCTCCACAGTATCTCCTGATGGCACACGCAACACTGCAGATTTACTAAGTTAATGGGGAATTTTGAAATGGACAAAAGTGACAATTATTCACTTGAATGTTACGACAATTTAACACAAGTGAAGATAAAAAACTTCTATCGTCTCAACAACATTTTTTGTTCTAATTGTTTTTACATGTAGATGAATTCTGGTTCTTGATAAAATTTATCCAAAAATAATGATGAAATATTTTTTGACCGTGTGGTGTTTTATATGTGTGCCACATGAAGGAGATCACTTGCTAAAGTTCAAAAATTGCTTACTTGGTAGACAATTTCAAAGTGTTGTCTGTAGGCCTGCTATTAAATATAAATTGTTTCATTATTTTCTCCTATTGTCACCTACCACCGTGCGCCTCCACTCACTTTGCTCAGTGGATTCTCCCCAGACAAAAAGGATCTGGGAATAACAATCATATTACATGACCCAAGCTTAGCCTTTGATGCTGGGGGTCTTTTGATGCAACAGATTCTTATTGTAAAATCATTATAATTATCATAACTATTGGTAACTCGGTTATCACAAGCATGAGATTTTATGGCTAAAATTAAGTTTGAAACATTTTTGTATAATACCGTTTTGTATACATTGTTAAAAAGTTACGACAACTCATGTGTTAAATGTACTTAGGACTTAGTAGAATCGCTAACTATTTTTACTTTTTTTATTCCCCAAATATGGAAACCGAAATTCCAGTGTATTCATTCAGATTTATTTTCCTTTCTACACACAGAATTCTTTCAATGACAAACAAATGTAAAGAGCTAAAAATATAAAATTAACAAACCTGCCCGTGACTCATGGTTCTACTTAACTTTTCAACATGTTGACGTCATTTCTATGACTTTTTATAAGGAATTACAAACTTTTATGCAAGCAAATTGTGTGGGTAATCTGTGCTGTTTTTGTCATTCATTTATACAATCTTACAGTTTTTCTACCATTTCCTCCTTAACACAAATTAAGCTCGCCATAACTTGACGGAGAACAATAAAATGAGAAAATTAGGTCAGTTAAATTCCTGTTTTTAGACCAGATACCTTTCCTTTAATCTCCTATTTTTCTTTCAAATTCCATATTTTTGGGATTTTCATCATTGTTAAGAATTCCAACAATTCCTATGTGTCGAAAACGTTTTGTGTATGCATAGATAAGGAATTATAACTTGCACTTAAGAAAAAATAATCTTAGTTAATACAATTTCTTTGACTTTAAATAATGGCATACATATATATGTATTTATAATGATATAGACTCATCTCTTGATAGCTCATTTAATCTAATTTTGAAATACTACAGCTACAAACCTTTGTCTTATAAATAAGAATTTATGTAATTCGATTTTCAAACATTAAAAGCCTGCCCAAACTACCAAAATCTCTTTTATTCCAAAAGGATAAATTAGCCTGTAATTTTGCAGAGAATGCTAAGGAGGCCCAAACCATTCTTATAAATACAGATTTTAATTTTAGGTGGTGGCCAAATTTTTCTAAACTAGTTAACCCATGATTTTAAATCTAAATTGAAAATTTCTCTTTGATTGTTTTTGTCAAAATAGAGTAGGAAAAGATGTTCGACGAAGTTAAAGGGTGCAAAAATTGCCGAAATGACACTTTTTTGACAAGTCCAATTTTGGTAGTGGCATATTAGATTTTTCCAAAGGGGTTAACCCATTATTTTGGATCAAAAATTGAAAGTCTCCTTTAGATTGTTTTTGGTCTAAATAGAGTAGGAAAAGATTTTTGGAGGCGTTAAAAGAATGCTACAAATGCTGAAAAGACACTTTTTAACAACTTCGATTTCGGGAATGGCCATATTTTCTTTTTCCAAAGGGATTAACACACGACTTTGAGCAAACGTTTAAAAATTTCCTATTAATTGCTTTTTCTCAAAAAAGGTAGGGAAAAAATTTTCGACATGTTAAAAAGTGCTAAAAATGCTTAAAGACGCTTTTAACGCTTTCGACTTTGTGCTTGACCATATTGGATTTTTCCAAAGAGGTTAACCCATGATTTTGAGTCAAAATTTCAAACTCTCTTATCGATCGAGTAGAGAAAATTTTTTGGCGATATGAAAAAGTTCTAAAAATGCAGAAAAGGCACTTTTTTGGGGGTGGCGATATTGGATTCTTCCAAAGGGGTTAACTCATGATTTCGGGGCAAAATTGTAAAGTCCCTTTTTTATTGTGTTTTTGTCGAAATAAAGTCAAAAAAGATGTTTCTCGAAGTTAAAGACTGCAAAAATTGCCGGAAAAACGCGATTTTAACAAGTTTAATTTTGGAAGTGGCCATATTAGATTTTTCCAAAGGGGTTAACCCATGGTTTTGGTCAAAAATTGGCCATTTTCCATCTTTTTTTATCTTAGGCAATATAGGCCAGGAAAATGTGTTTTACGATATTCTACAACGAAAAAACGCCTTTCTAGGCTATAAAAACAAGAAGTTCAAAAAGTCGAAAAATTGACATTTTTCCAAAGGGGTTAACCCATGGTTTTGGTCAAAAATTGGCCATTTTTTCTATCTTTTTTTTCTAAAGCAATTAACGCCAGGAAAAGGTGTTTTACGATATTCTAGAACGAGAAAACGCCTTTCTAGGCTATAAAAACAAGAAGTTCAAAAAGTCGAAAAATTGACATTTTTGCAAAGGGGTTAACCCATGGTTTAGGTCAAAAATTGGCCATTTTTCCATCTTTATTTTCTAATGCAATTAACGCCAGGAAAAGGTGTTTTACCATATTCTAGAACGAAAAATGGCCTTTCAAGGCTATAAAAACAACAAGTTCAAAAAGTCGAAAAATTGACATTTTTGCAAAGGGGTTAACCCATGGTTTTGGTCAAAAATTGGCAATTTTTCCATCCTTTTTTGTAAAGGAATATAGGCCCGGAAAATGTTTTTTACTATATTCTAGAACGAAAAAACGCCTTTCTAGGCTATAAAAACAAGAAGTTCAAAAAGTCGAAAAATTGACATTTTTGCAAAGGGGTTAACCCATGGTTTTGGTCAAAAATTGGCCATTTTTCCATCTTTTTTTTCTAAAGCAATTTAGGCCAGGAAAAGGTGTTTTACGATATTCTAGAACGAAAAAACGCCTTTGTAGGCAATAAAAACAAGAACTTCAAAAAGTCGAAAAATTGACATTTTTGCAAAGGGGTTAACCCATGGTTTTGGTCAAAAATTGGCCATTTTTCCATCTTTTTTTTCAAAAGCAATTTAACCCGGAAAAGGTGTTTTACGATATAATAGAACAAAAAAACGCCTTTCTAGGCTATAAAAACAAGAACTTCAAACAGTCGAAAAATTGACATTTTTGCAAAGGGGTTAACCCATGGTTTTGGTCAAAAATTGGCAATTTTTCCATCCTTTTTTGTAAAGGAATATAGGCCCGGAAAATGTTTTTTACTATATTCTAGAACGAAAAAACGCCTTTCTAGGCTATAAAAACAAGAAGTTCAAAAAGTCGAAAAATTGACATTTTTGCAAAGGGGTTAACCCATGGTTTTGGTCAAAAATTGGCCATTTTTCCATCTTTTTTTTCTAAAGCAATTTAGGCCAGGAAAAGGTGTTTTACGATATTCTAGAACGAAAAAACGCCTTTCTAGGCTATAAAAACAAGAAGTTCAAAAAGTCGAAAAATTGACATTTTTCCAAAGGGGTTAACCCATGGTTTTGGTCCAAAATTGGCCATTTTTCCAACTTTTTTTTTTAAGGCAATATAGGCCAGGAAAATGTCTTTTATGATATTCTAGAACGAAAAAACGCCTTTCTAAGCCATAAAAACAAGAAGTTCAAAAAGTCGAAAAATTGACATTTTTCCAAAGGGGTTAACCCATGGTTTTGGTCAAAAATTGGCAATTTTTCCATCTTTTTTTGTAAAGGAATATAGGCCCGGAAAATGTTTTTTACTATATTCTAGAACGAAAAAACGCCTTTCTAGCCTATAAAAACAAGAAGTTCAAAAAGTCGAAAAATTGACATTTTTGCAAAGGGGTTAACCCATGGTTTTGGTCAAAAATTGGCCATTTTTCCATCTTTTTTTGTAAACGAATATAAACCGGAAAAATTTTTTTCCTATATTCTAGAACGAAAAAACGCCTTTCTAGGCTATAAAAACAAGAAGTTCAAAAAGTCAAAAAATTGACATTTTTCCAAAGGGGTTAACCCATGGTTTTGGTCAAAAATTGGCAATTTTTCCATCTTTTTTTGTAAAGGAATATAGGCCCGGAAAATGTTTTTTACTATATTCTAGAACGAAAAAACGCCTTTCTAGCCTATAAAAACAAGAAGTTCAAAAAGTCGAAAAATTGACATTTTTCCAAAGGGGTTAACCCATGGTTTCGGTCAAAAATTGGCCATGTTTCCATCTTTTTTTCTAAAGCAATTTAGGCCAGGAAAAGGTGTTTTACGACATTCTAGAACGAAAAAACGCCTTTCTAGGCAATAAAAATAAGAAGTTCAAAAAGTCGAAAAATTGACATTTTTGCAAAGGGGTTAACCCATGGTTTTGGTCAAAACTTGGCCACTTTTCCATCTTTTTTTTCTGAAGCAATTTAGGCAACGAAAATGTTTTTTACGATATTCTAGAACGAGAAAACGCCTTTCTAGGCTATAAAAACAAGAAGTTCACAAAGTCGAAAAATTGACATTTTTGCAAAGGGGTTAACCCATGGTTTTGGTCAAAAATTTGCCATTTTTGCATTTTTTTTTTTCTAAAGCAATATAGGCCAGGAAAATGTTTTTTACTACATTGTAGCACAAAAAAACGCCTTTCTAGGCTATAAAAACAAGAAGTTCAAAAAGTCGAAAAATTGACATTTTTGCAAAGGGGTTAACCCATGGTTTTGGTTAAAAATTGGCCATTTTTTCCATCTTTCTTTTCTAATGCAATTAAGGCCGGGGAAAGGTGTTTTAGGGTATTCTAGAACAAGAAAATGCCTTTCTAGGCTATAAAAAGAAGAAGTTCAAAAAGTCAAAAAATTTACATTTTTGCAAAGGGGTTAACCCATGGTTTTGGTCAAAAATTGGCAATTTTTTTATCTTTTTTTGTAAAGGAATATAGGCCGGGAAAATGTTTTTTACTATATTCTAGAACGAAAAAACGCCTTTCTAGGCTATAAAAACAAGAAGTTCAAAAAGTAAAAAAATTGACATTTTTCCAAAGGGGTTAACCCATGGTTTTGGTCAAAAATTGGCCATTTTTCCATCTTTTTTTCTAAAGCAATATAGGCCCCAAAAATGTTTTTTACTATATTCTAGAACGAAAAAACGCCTTTCTAGGCTATAAAAACAAGAAGTTCAAAAAGTCACAAAATTGACATTTTTCCAAAGGGGTTAACCCACGGTTTTGGTCAAAAATTGGCAATTTTTCCATCTTTTTTTGTAAAGGAATATAGCCCCGGAAAATGTTTTTTACTATATTCTAGAACGAAAAAACGTTTTTCTAGGCTATAAAAACAAGAAGTTCAAAAAGGCGAAAAATTGACATTTTTGCAAAAGGCGTTAACCCATGGTTTTGGCCAAAAATTGGCCACTTTTCCATCTTTTTTTTCTGAAGCAATTTAGGCAACGAAAATGTTTTTTACGATATTCTAGAACGAAAAAACGCCTTTCTAGCCTATAAAAACAAGAAGTTCAAAAAGTCGAAAAATTGACATTTTTGCAAAGGGGTTAACCCATGGTTTTGGTCAA